TTCCATTGTCGACGAAGAACCTTTAGACCATAAAGCCAAGACATATTTAAGGTTGAGGATTAGCTATGAAGGTATGTGGATCTGGGTGGAAAGAACATCATAAAGATACGAAAGAGAAGAAAGCTTACGACACACTGACGCCTCTATTTCTTGATCACCCTCGTAAGAACTAAACCATTCTAGTGGAAAATGTGGGTTTAATAGGGGAGAAGTAGGAAGTGCACACAATGGATATCTTCTATCTTCGACTTGTTGGTCAAAAATAACAAAAATAGATGCCAAGCCCAAAAAGACGTGCCTTTCGCTGGTCTCGTCAAAATGAACCTCGTTATAAACCATACCGCGTGCTCAATCAAGCTATATTATGTAGAGCCCCAAAAATGGTTTTAATCTTTTCTATTTAATGAGATAGATAGTCGTAGATAAATAACGTTCGTCAAAAGCATGCAGCGAATGCTTGAAGAACTCCCAGATTACGACGCCGCCCATTTCCCATAAAAGAGGAAAGCAAAACACCAACCCCATCAAACCCTCCACTGGGCGAGAACCAAATTGGGCCACACTGGATCAGTCAGGTGCGTGAGTCTCATAACTAAATAAGCAATAGTGAAAAGAAAAAAAATTTGAAAAAGAAAAGTCGGAAAAGTTCCAAAATCGATCGCGCGGATTGGTTGAACGTCGAGTCATCATGGCGGGTCGAATCGATGGTGTCGGATTGGACGGGATCGAAGGGGATTCGAATTCGTTTATGGAGGAGATTACGAGTCGATCTCCATTCCCGTTTCCACACCTCCGCTCAGTTCGCCGAGGCTTGATGTTTGAGGGTGGTTGGACATGGCTTGTTGGAGAAGTGGCACACCAGTGTCCGTGGAGTTGAAGGCGACTGGTTGTGCGCTAGGTCGATCGGTAGCTCTAAGGGGAGCGGCGCCCTCGAATACGATGGGGGAGCTACGAAGATTTTGAAGGCATGCTTCCCAGGAGGAGGCAACGAGCTGGCCTTGAGTGAGGTCTTCGGTGAAGAGATAAAAGGCAGGCGAGTGTCCGGAAGTTGGGGTGGCAGACACAAGATAGGCGTTCAGAGCGCGGCTTTTGAGGAGCATCTGAGAGTCGTGCAGGTGGGCCGAGTATTGGTTGTCGATATACTTGGTCCAGCCACGGACAGCAGGAGCCATGTCACCGTCAGTGTTGACACGCTGCCATCCGATACCTAGGAGACGGGTCGCATCGTCTACTAAAGGCTCGGCGGGCGGAGCAGGCCCCGCATTGAGAGAGCGACGCTGATCGTTGGAGCCAGGGTCGTCCAGACGTTGGCGGATTGAGGATAACGCAATGTCGTCCAAACCGGGTGCAGAGGTATCAAGGCGCTGGGACTTGCGGCTTACGTCGATAGCATCAGAAAGCAGCGCGTTTGACGGCGAGGAAACAGGTGCAGCGGCAGCCTGCTCAGACTGTTGTTCGTACCATGTGCCGGTCTGGCTCTCGGCCGAGATTGCAAGGCCAGTCTGGGGGTTTAAAAGAACCATGCCTTCTCCGTAGATGGGCTGGACCTTGGGTGCTGGCGCCGGGGACGCGCTAGGAGCAACGGCTTCTTCAAAAGTGGCCTCATCGCGCGACCTTTTGCGAGAGGGTTTGGGAACCGCAGGGGCAGACGCGAAATTGAAGCTCGAGGGGATAGGTTGCGCAGAGCTATTGTTGGAAAAGCCGGTGCTATGGCTTGCCGGATAGCCATTGAAGCTTCCTGGAGAGTCACGGAAAGAGGACTGAGAGGAGAACTGAGCGAAGGCGTGTTCCCGGGGAGGAGAGAGAACCGTGGCCGGGCCGTCCGAGAGGCGGTTCAGCATCATTGGACACATTATTGCCTCGAAGTTGTCTTAGATTTGAGACAAGGGGAACTGTTCTGTTAGATTAGGTGAGCAAGACACAAGAAGCTTCAACCACCTGGGGAGAGACGGAAGTAAGAACGAGAAGTAAAAGGTGGAAGGTGTCTCAAAAAAGTACGAAAAGTAAATAGCAAGAGGGAGAAAGGTGGGATTGAAAGAAAAAAGAAAGAATTGGAAGAGAAAAATGGGGGAAATGGGGGAAAAGAACAAAGTAGAGCGAAGTAAGAGGAAGGGAAGGGTAAGAGTGTGAGACAGGCAAGAACGATCTGAAGAAGTGGATGAATCGATGCGCGAAATGCGGAGTTACCAAGTCAAACGGTAATATACCAGCAAAATGCAGCTGTCAGATCGCCGGTGACGGTATTAATACATGCGCTATTAACGGGTACCATTGGCTCATGCAGCCAAGACGCCTCTGGTGGAGTTAAGCTGGATGGGTACAGCTTAGATACCATTGGCCTATGAAGCTGGACCTGTAGCCCAGGTGTGATTACATCACGTGAGATTATGTAGGTATATTTGTAGAGCAGATCACGTGTATGATATGAGGTCATATAAATCCAAGTCTATTGGGTTACTATAAAGACACGAATGGTGAAAAAAAATGAAAAAAACATAAAAGACCACAAGATCAGGTCCAAAGCAAGCCGACACCAGAGCTCGTGCAGTCTAACATCAATCAATATTCGTAGAAAAAAACAAAATAGTACACTGCCAGTAACAACACTTTCATGTCACTGTATACATCACAGAAATCGGGCTGAAAAAAAAAGGTTGGTAATAAAACAGCCAAAAACGAGCCCCCCGTTTCGCATTGCACAGCAAGGACCGAGAAAGACAACATTGAAGGCATAAGCGACAGTCTCTGTGTTACCGAGAGACAGAAGGAACGGATACCGCTACATGCCTGCACTTATTCACTCGCGCCCTCGTTCCGGCCAACTTAAACCAAGAATGGATATTGTGGCTTCGAACAGTGGCCCGAGTTCAGTGCGTTCCAATTTATAGGAGCTGAAAAGCCAAGGGTCTGATAAGTGCATTTAAGCATTACCAGCAGTGGCACCACCAAGGTAGCCCTTGACACGGTCAACGGAGTCATTGGCGTAACTGGGAGCCATAGTGCCAATAAAGAGGAAGAACATAAGAGCGGCAGCACCAAAGACGACAAACTTGCGCTGCGCAGGGCGGTTGTTGCCATACTCAGCCCAGGCACGTCCAGCGGAAGAAGTGTATTCGCGCATCTTGTCACCGCCGAGCTTGTACCAGACAAGACCCATGAGAGCAATGGAGTAACCGAAGAACTGGAGGCCAGTGACGGGAGTCTGCCACAGAAACATGGAGGCAGCAACCAATAGGATATCCTTGAGGACACCGCACAGGGTCATTACCAGGGAAGAGGTCTTGCCAATCAGGAAAACGACCGAGACGTTAAGGAGGAAAGCGACAACGGCATTGAGGACCAGAAGCCAGATACCAACGGAGTAGACGTGGTCCATAGTGACGTGTGGGAATTCCAAGAACAGAGCAACGGCACCGTTCATGACAGCACAGATGGGGGCGAAGTAGTACAGAGAAACCATGGGGTCCATCTTGAAGTCGGCGGAGCTGAGCAGGCCCTGCACCATGACCAGACGGGTGGCCTCGAAAATGATACCACCAATCTGGAACAGGAAACCGACCATGTTGAACTTGATCTCACCGAAGGAGGCAATGACCACACCAACCACAATGATGGAGACGTTGGCCAGAACCTTCATGTTGGCCGGGGCCATACCCATACCCCAGGTCGCGAGGAGAACAGCCACGGGGGTGGTGGCCTTGAGCATTTGGATGAAGGCAACGCTGAGGTAGAGGTAGGTCATGTTACCGCAAATCAAGCTCAGACTGAACATTACACCGATGGGGACAATAGCGCGGAGGTAGACACGGCCGGTCATCTTGACCTTCTTGCGGCCGTCGAGGACATTGGTGGTGCGAGCGAGGATTTGGGTCATAATGGTAGCGAAGGTCAAGTGCCATGTTGTGAGGATGATGGGGAAGCCTATTCACAGTGTGTTAGTGTTGGTTTCCTTCGCGCGGTATCCCGAGGTCTCCGATCTGACTTACGGAAGTTGGCATAGTCGAGGAGGTACTTGTTGAATAGGATAACAGTGGAACTCAATGTGATCCATGTACTATCGACATGTTAGCAATTCTGTCACGATCTGTTTCCTGTTGATGTTGCTCACGTCACATAAACCGCGGGGTGGAATGTAATGCCGGCCTGCTCTCCCTTCTCCGCTGCGGGGTTGACGGTAGGCAGAGTCTGCTCCCGGGGAGTCTCGCCAGAGGCGCGGACCTTCTCGCCGTCGCTCATTGTAAAAGTTTTAGATTGATCGGATAAAAAGCGCTTAAATTCAAAAGGTCGTGGCCGGGAGAGGCTTTGACTAAATGCCGAGGAAGCCACGGAGAAAAGTGGGCAAGATAAGGGAGATTAGAAGGTAATGATCACTAAAATGCTGTTAACGAGTGCGACGCCCAAAAGCGATAAATGACGAGTGTGGATGAAGAAATGAAAGTAGAAGGGATGGAATGGGGTACGTACTTCGGGTAATTTTTTGGGAGGCAAACACTAGGGGATTTGCAAAGGAAATTAAGAGGAAAACCAAGTGATTGTAAAGAAAATAAGAAGAAAAATAGAGCAAGAACCAGACACCAAAACAGAGGAACAAGGACAGACAAAATAGATCCACTCGCCGCAAACAGAAAGTCTTGAGGCTGGTTACGAATGCAATATACATGTATGGAAACGTTTGAATTATAGTTTGGGAATTACCGGTACGTGTCCGCTAAGGCCACCTGTACACTGTGTTCATCCTGTCCGCCATAGTTTATCTGTTTTCTTATGTAATAGATTTCAGTTGTATCCTGGTTATACCAGAACCAATACAACTTGTGTCTAGCTCTTAATTTTAAAAGTCTGGCCAACCTTGACCCCATTTGCTGGTCGAGAGTCCCCCTCTTTTTTTTTTTCCCTTAAATACTCATAAGAATACCCCTGTCATAGATCTCCACTGTCACTACTTACTCTAATCCTTCAATCCATACTATAAATCTAGGAGCACATATATCTCTATAGGTATGTCTGAATATGGAAGCATCTTGGAATGCCCTAAATCAAATTTGAAGAAAACCGAAACAGTGCAGATCCAAATTAAGGCATTACGCAAGCATCTGTTAGCCAAGACCCACCAGAACCCGCGTTCAGTAACCTGGGTCCAATTCGGTCCCTTACGGGTGGAGAATGCGGCGATCCGCGCTCTGAAGGTGTCTGACGCAATCAGGGGACTTGCCTCCCCACAAGTACTTTGTGCTTGGACCAGCGGGGAGAAGACCCCTAAGCTTTTGGGAACAACGGGAGTTGGTGTTTCAAGAGGCAATTGACCTTCTCTGCTGATTCGAGAAGTTTTTCCTTGAGGGGCGATCAATGGCAAAGTTGTTGTGAAGAGATCCTCGCTGTATTACTCCGTTAGGAGTGACAATCAGTGGAACCAGATACCTGTTGAAGTTTCGCCAAATCCCCTCTCCTCGAGACCGCCAAATGGGATGATCAACTCTGCGGATGTTGTTCCGGGAAGGTCCAGGTTATTTTCCTTTGGGGCTATCTTATTATATTGGCTATTGGATGCATGTGATAATATAAATACTATATGTAGTGTGCAACGGGGAATTGATGTAGATGAAACATGGATCACCATCTCTAACAATCAGTACAATATCAGAAGATAGACTAATCTGTTCCAGAATTTATTCACTAGAGGTCCATACAAACTACCTAAACAGTATTCTAATTTAACCCTAACCAATAGCCAACAACGTGCCAATGCCTACATCGGTGGCGTTTTTAGCCTGACCATATTGAATCGAGATTCAATCATTGCCCCTATTTGTATCGCCCCCTTTTTCCCTCTCTTTGGTTCTTCTAGAATAGTGTTCCGAAAGGGGAGATAACGGCCATTCCTGGCCCTGGATGTTATCCAATGCACGCTAAGGGAATTCCAATATCGACGAACCCGCATGCAAAAGGTGAATGCAGATTTCATGCACTCCGAGTCTCTGCTTTTAGAGGTGTCATGATAAGCTCAAGACCAATAACGGCTTTACACTGAATGTGATGTGTTTGATTTTAACTAGGATCACTATTACGGTGTGATGAGATGAGATTGCCTTACGCGTTCTTTTACTCTGTATGTACTCCTAGGTACATATAGTACTCTCTTAAAATTGAACCCTGGAGCACTGCCTCCCCCTGAGTACATTATTGTAATTGCCATTGAGCTCTGTCAATGTGATAGGACCTAGACTAAGGGTCTAGAAAAAAAAAAGGAAATTAATTCCGAAAAGAAAAAGAAAACGAAATCTTAAAAACGAAAACAAATAAGAAAATGTCACGAATCAGTAAAGCTGAAACAGGCACGTCTGTCTCCACCGGATCCGTTAATGCGTCTAGATAGCTTGGCTTGTCACGTTGTCCTCCCACTTCCCCTTCTTCTTTGGTTCTTCCTTCTTTATTATCCCTCCATTCCCCCTCTTAATCTTCTGCAGATTCTTGCAGCTGTGCTTCTATGCTGAACGTCGCCCGCAAGACATTCAAACGAGTCCCAAGCTTTCAGGACCTCCTACAAGGCAGAATGACCCACCCCGATATGTAAGGTCTCGCCCACCCATCAACTGCCGTCATGTCTAACAATTGCTTCACAGTTCTGTTGACGTTCTCGTCATTGGTGCTGGCCCAACTGGCTTGGGTGCCGCCAAGCGTTTGAACCAGATTGTAAGTCTTTCTCTGATGTTTACTGTGTGGGAGAGGGGCACAAAAAAAACATTCAAAAAAAGGGGGAGGGGTACTCCGGGAATTAAAAAAACTAATTGAGTATACAGAATGGCCCCTCGTGGATGATTATCGACTCCAACGAGATCCCTGGTGGTTTGGCTTCCACTGATGTTACCCCCGAAGGTTTCGTAAGTTGCGACTTAGTCTCAATTGTCAATTTCCATCCGCTAACCTGGTTCACGTTCACAGCTCTACGATGTCGGCGGTCACGTTATTTTCTCCCACTACAAGTACTTCGACGACTGCATCAACGAGGCCCTCCCCAAGGAGGAGGATTGGTATACCCATGAGCGTATCTCCTACGTTCGCTGCCAGGAGCAATGGGTTCCCTACCCCTTCCAAAACAACATTTCCATGCTGCCCAAGGAGGAGCAGGTGAAGTGCATTGACGGCATGATCGATGCTGCTCTCGAGGCCCGTGTCTCCAACACCAAGCCCAAGGATTTCGATGAGTGGATTGTCCGCATGATGGGTGTTGGTATTGCCGACCTCTTCATGAGACCCTACAACTACAAGGTCTGGGCCGTTCCCACCACCAAGGTAAGTTTTGACTTCTTCCCCCCCCCCCCCCCCCCCCCGCCGCGGGAGACTTGAAACAATACTGATTATATTTAGATGCAATGCGCTTGGCTCGGTGAGCGTGTCGCTGCCCCCAACGTCAAGGCCGTGACTACCAACGTCATCCTCAACAAGACCGCCGGTAACTGGGGCCCCAACGCTACCTTCCGTTTCCCCGCTCGCGATGGTACCGGTGGTATCTGGATTGCTGTTGCCGACACTCTTCCCAAGGAGAAGACCCGCTACGGCCCCAACAACAAGGTAGAGAAGGTCAACGCCTACAACAAGACCGTCACCCTCGCCGATGGCACCACCATTGGTTACGGAAAGCTGGTCTCCACCATGGCTGTCGACTACCTCGCCGAGGCTATGAACGATACCGAGCTCATGCCCCTCACCAAGCAGCTCTTCTACTCCTCCACCCACGTTATCGGTGTTGGTATCCGTGGTGCCCGTCCCGACCGCATCGGTGACAAGTGCTGGCTGTACTTCCCCGAGGATGACTGCCCATTCTACCGTGCCACCATCTTCTCCAACTACTCCCCCCACAACCAGCCCGAGGCCTCCAAGAAGCTCCCCACCCTTCAGCTCGCTGACGGCTCCAAGCCCAAGAGCACCGAGGCTCAGGACGGTCCCTACTGGTCCGTCATGTTGGAGGTTTCCGAGTCTTCCATGAAGCCCGTCAACAACGAGACCCTCCTTGCCGATTCTATCAAGGGTCTCGTCAACACCGAGATGCTCCAGCCCGGTGATGAGATTGTCTCCACCTACCACCGCCGCTTCGACCACGGTTACCCCACCCCCACCCTCGAGCGTGAAGGTGCCCTCACCCAGATTCTCCCCAAGCTCCAGGAGAAGGGTATCTGGTCCCGTGGCCGCTTCGGCAGCTGGCGCTACGAGGTCGGCAACCAGGATCACTCCTTCATGCTCGGTGTCGAGGCTGTTGACAACATTGTCAACGGTGCTGTTGAGTTGACCCTCAACTACCCCGACTTCGTCAACGGTCGCCAGAACACCGAGCGCCGCTTGGTCGATGGTGCCCAGGCTTTCGCCAAGAAGTAGATAATTCCCCCTTTTCCTTTTTAACTTGTCCCACCATTCTTGTCTGAAGTGAAGGGTTCTATTTTTTTTTTTACTCTCCATTTTTTTGATGCAATTGAAACGAGCTCATACGTCATGGAAAAAAGATTATACACGAGAGAGCATTTGAAGCGGCATCTGGAAGACGATCGATTGGCGTTCCATCTTGTTACTTAACACCATCTAGCCCTCTTCACCTCATCATCTACCTATTCCCTTGTTCTTTTATTAGCCGACGGGACTTGCTTTGATACACTTTATTAGATTGCTTGACATGTGCGATTGCTCATTTATAATTCATTCAATAGACCGATGAAACTCTTCCCTTGCTAAGTAGAACAATGTAGCCATCTCGGAAAGTGATAGACACGTGACTGGTTCCACGTGACCCATGTCTAGGCTCAGGAGTTCTAAAAATCCAGTCAAATTTGAGGAGCCAACCTTGGAAACATCCAAGCCAAGCAGATCGCACCCTATATGGGCGGAGGGTTTCGTGGCATCCAACCTTTACACCCCACCCATACTATCGCCCCCCCGTCGAGTTACACTCGCCACAATGCAGATCAACCAGACAATCACCAACCCACATACACACAGGCAAGAGCCTCTACCAGCTATGTCCATGAACCTCGAAACCAAAATCCCCTGAATCGTAGACCCCTGGATTCAAGAGAAATCCAAACACTATCTTAGCGCCATCAAAACGGAAATTTCCCGACACACATAGAGGTTCCTCTACGCGGTGGCGTAGTGGATCCCCCGAGAATGCGGGCCAACCATGAACCAGTCGTATCGAGGATCGAACATGTACAATCTAAACGGCATGTCCTGCAGATAACAAAAAGCAAAGAATCCAAGTAAGCAAAGTAAACCAAGTAATGCAGAGTGACGTAGGCAGGAGTTTCAGTTATGAGATGTCTCAACAGTTAAAAGGAGACTGCCGAGGCCACGTCAGATCTGGAGGCAGACAGATTTGTGGTTCTTCTCCACTGAGCTATTGATAGATTTGGGTTGCCGATATCGTTGTTTCAGATTGGTATTGTTCACTGGCATTCTAGATTGCTTCTTTTCCATTTTAACATGAGACATTGTAGACTAGACTGACACTTGAAGGGTTATTTTTGCTCTTTCTTGTAGGCCTAGAGCTGCTTCTACGTCAGGCTGTTTCAATATCTCATATTGGGGATTAAATATTGTTTACTTGATGTGTTCCCCGGATGATCATGTGGCCATGGGGCGAGAGACATCATACCATAAATATACAGAATTAGAGTCGAAGAGGTTAATACAAAGCCACTGGTATCAATAGAAGACGCGCTGGGATAGCTCATGGTGGACTCGAAGATGCCAAACCGCTAGAACAAAGCCACCAATCTCAAGCATCTATCCACAATATCTTGATAGAGCTCCTAGATGACGATTTTGGCGTGCGAGGCACGATCCTCGCCAGTGTTATTGGCCACATTAGTAGGCGAAACTGCCCGCTCGGCCAAGACTGCCTCGTAAGACACCGTGGACGCTAAGGCTAGGTCCCGGAGTGGGACGCTTGTGGTGGCCGGACTTGACGACACACCACACGACAAGAATGAAACCTGTGGCGTGGAATCTGGCGAGTCAATAGACATGGGTGTATATATAGCGTCAGTGTGGCTTGGCTGGTGGTTTTCTCGACGATCACGATCTGCCCGGGGATGGGACGGTTAGGTGGAGTCTATGTTTGTTCGGGAATTTGACATACCTGTTTCTGCAAGAGGGGTCTTACCGCTATGGAGTTCCAGTTCCTGCGGTGAGAGAGCAAATTTCACCTTCAGTCGCGGTGGATCAACGGACCGATCTGCTTGCGATTGTACTCCAGTGGAAATTGACATTTGTAACGAAGACTGTTGGTGTGAGATTGGAGATTTGAGGCAGGACT